TTGGGTTTTTTTTCTTTTTTGAGATAAGGTCTCCCTGTAGCCCCAACTGTCCTGGAACTCACTATGTAGACCAGGCTGGTCTTGAACTTACAGAGATCCACCTGCCTCTGCCTCCCAAGTGCTGGGACTACAGGCGTGCACCACCATGCCCGGCATTGAGACATAGTCTTGTAAATAGCCCAGGTTGGCCTCGAACTCAGCTCTTCCTGCCTCAATGTCCCCCAGGCAGGTGCCATTACACTTGACTACTAAGTCTTTTTGGACATAGGTCTCATTCCCGTGCCCTGCTTGCCTCTGTATCCTGAGGTCTGGGATCATAGGCAGGCACCACCGAACCTTTTTTTTTTTAAATGGGTAACCTGGCTAGCCTCAAACTTGTAGCAATCTCCAGCCTCAGCCTCCCAAGTACTGAGTTATAGGTATGTGCCACCACACCTGGCTACTAACTTAAATGTAAATGTGGCTACAAGGGATAATATTGGTCTTGACAGTTCTCTAGGTTGTCTCAGGGATCTGAAAACTGCCAACGGGGGACTGTCTGCAAAGTCTGCTGAAAACACAGATTCTGAGAGGACACCCCAGAAACACCACCGGCAAAATGAACATTCTCTTACTTTTCATACCACAGCTTACACTAAGTGTCATTTGTATTCCATCTTGCTTATTCAACAATGCTTAGCATGGTGTGCAATGTGCAGGCATACACTAAACAAAGAAAACATCCAAAAAGACAAGGAGCATCTACTTAGCCACTACTCCATGAGTCAGTACTTAGTAGTGACAAATCTGCAGAAGATGCTACCCAGCTAGCACTACAACTACACTTTCTACTGCAAGAGATCAACTTACCCGGGATGTCATGAAGAGGAGCTTAGTTTCCATGTCTGGAGTTAGACGACACGCTAGAAATTTCCGGGACGTTCTTGACTGAAGTAGCTGTAGGATACCTGAACCAAGTGGAGGAGAAAAGCATGAGACCCAAAGGACCGTAAGGCAGGAGGGAAATGGCCAGGTGCCGATGGCCAGTGGTCTGTCACAGGGCAATCCCAAGACAAGACCTAGAGAATTCCAGCAAAGGTACACAGGGATTCCAACCAACATACACCAACTGTAACAATTCCCTTCTGTGGCCTTCCAGAGCCCTCTAGCAATATTTTTGCAGACTGAAAGAGATGGGAAAATTCTTGCCTGTCTTCCTGCTCCTGAGGACGGCACTATTAGATCCTAGGATTAATGTGATTTTGTGATACAACCACAAGCTTTGGAGTCAGAAAGACCTGGATCTAAATCCTGCCTCTGTCATTTACTAGTTATGTGGTCTTGAGCAGGTGACTCAAATCTTTTTGAATCTTACTTTCTGTGTAGAGAATAAAATACCCGTCTTAAGGGTTGTACTGGTGATTAGATGAGCCAATGCACACATCCTAACACAGAGGAGGTATCCAAAGCAACCCCGTACATGTTTAAAGTAACAGTACTCTATCATGTGGCACCAGAGCTCCTTTTTCCCTTGCTTCCTAGGTCCTAGATGACTGCTTTCAGCTTCTGTGTATGTGTGCACATGTTTATGTTGTGCAGAGATGTTGGAAGCGGGGTTGGGGGACAAGGCTACAGAGTAACTGTTTGGAACACAGCAGGGCCCTGGGAAAGGGAAAGAGACATGAAAAAGACCTCGTCAGGGGAAGCACAAAAAGATTCTCTCTCTCTCCTAAAGAGGATTTTGGCCACACTAGATCCTTGGAATTAGAGACAGGACTGTTCCTAGGAAGGACGGTTTCTTTTTCTTTTTCTTTCCCTCTATAATGCTGACAATCAAATATATGACCTTGCAGGTGTGTTGTTCACTGAGCTACATTCCACAGGGCCATCTCTCTCTCTTTTTTAAAAATATTTTATCTATTATTTTTATTTTATTTTATGTGTATGTGTGTATTGCTTCCATGAGGGTAAGTGCACCTGTGTTGTGCAATGCCCGAGGCAGACAGAAGAGGCTGTTGTTGGATCACCTGGAACTGGAGATACAGACAGTTGTTAGCTGCCATGTGGGTGCTGGGATTTGAACCCAGGTCTTCTGCAAGAACATCCAGTGTTCTTAACTGCTAAGCCATCTCTCCAGCCCCAGGGCCATCTCTTGTAAGACTAATCAAACCTCTGTGCTGATTTAGCCTCATGAGTGGACATCTGACTCTGTCAGACGCAGTGAAGCTGGAGACGGGTCATCACCTTACCTCCTGAACCAAGGGAGGGGAAGAGGATCACAGTTTTCTGTCTTACTTTCTCTTTTTAATTTATTACATTTTAATTTATTCATCTTACATGTGTATGTGTATGTATGTGGGCGTGTGTATACCATAGTGTGTATGGAGGCCAGAAGACAACTTTCAGGAGTTGGTTCTCTCCTTCTACCATGTGGGTCCCTGGGATTGAACTCAGGTCATCAGGCTTGGCAGCAAGTGCTTTACCCACTGAGCCATTTTGCTGACCCCTGTCCTGTTTTTTCTTAGGAGCAATGACAGCTGGAACCAGTCAAGTAGGGGCTAACTACATAAATTGTTCTGTGCTTTGCCATTCCCGTATACAGCCGTACCTGACAAAGCCTGTGCTATCTCAAGCTTTCTCTGACTACAAAAGCTCTCACCTCTACCAACCTTTCCCCTCTCAAATTCACTCAGGACATACACACTGAACTTCCACCTCTCAGACAGGACGCCCAGGTGCTTACCAGTGAACTGAGGACTCAAGGCCTGAGGGTTATGGATGATATCTTTCCAAAGCAGTTCAAATTCTGGTATCCTAGCAACATTCTGAAGTAGTCTTACAAGGTCCCGGCCAATCATCAAACATTCCATGAACTTGATCAGCGGGAGGATGAAGAAGGGGGAACATGAAAGATAATAAAAACATGGTTGTTTACCTTCTGGAGGGAGGACAAAGGAATAGCATGTTCTACAGAGGGAAGGAAAGAAGGTCAGAAGGGCTATACATAATTTCTTCTGGAGTCAAAGGATTGGCTACTCAGTGGTGCAGGGAGGAAAGCTGAGAGCTGGGGACTGATATAGCAAGGATAAAGTTTCTGGGACGTGCTGAAGCCCTGCCGACTTTTACATCCATTTAGTACCCTCTTCACTCAGAATGGTTTTGATTCAATTTGAGGGAAGCAGAGATTCCTGCAAGTATGGGACTGGGAAGTGGAGCCCCAGAGACCCTACCACAAAGTTCATTCTGTCCAAGAGAGAACAACTTGTGGTAATGGAAAGAATTTATACAGTCCAGACAATACTGGTAACAGTATGTGACTAATCCACTTGAACAAAGGAACCTAAAAGCTCTACTTCATACTTTTTTTTTAAAGATTCCTTTTATTTTTATTTATGCGTGTGTGTCGATGCAAATGTCCACATGTGTGTGCTAGTTCTACCATTTAAAAAAATATTTTATTTATTTAAGTATTTTATTTATTATTTTATATGTATGAGTGTATTGCCTCCATGTATGTGAGTGCACCCGTCATACAATCCCACAGAGCTCAGAAGAGGGCTTCAGATTCCTCTGGAACTGGAGTTAAGGATGGTTCATAACTGCCATGTGGGTGCTGGGAGTCAAACCCAGGTGCTCTGCAAGAGCAGTCAGTGCTCTTAACCGCTGAGCCATGTCTCCAGCCCCTATTACTTTTACTTTATGTGTATGAGTATATAGCTTGCATGAATGTAAGTATACCCATGTCTTGCAATGCCCACAGAGGTCAGAAGAGGGCACTGGATCCACTGGAACTGGAGTTATGGATGGTTGTTAGCTACCATGTGGGTGCTGGGAATCGAATCCTGGTCCTTTGCAAGACTAGCCAGTGCTCTTAACCGCCATCTCTTCAGCCCCCCAATACCACTTTTAACATATATTGTCATATGTGGTCAGTGCCTGCCATATTAGCAAAGATCAAGGGTATCTCTCTTGGGAGAAACGGCAGTAAACAGCTCATAATCCTATCCAACTGACCATGGCAATTACTTTAGGGGAAGTAGGATTGACGTAACATGGGCACACAAGGATAGTTTATATCTATTGTACAACGACACCCTTGAAATTGAAACTGACCAGAAAAATCCCTAGAATGCCAGGATAATGTGTGGTATTTCCAGGAACGAGGGGTATTCCACACTGACTCCCTGTCCTTTCTCTGCCCATCTGTCTAGGGACAGTGAAAACACCAATATTAACTACCTTTTTCTCTACAAGGTCTCCATGGCCCAGACACATGAAAGCTATAGGGATACCCCACCTGGGTATCATTTCCCCATGCTGATTCTGCCCTGCGCCCTCACCCGTTCCCGAAGCAGTGAGATGCAAAAATCAACTTCCTTCTGCCGAAGAGCCTGGAGCTGGGCGGTCCCATGGTGGTCCACGATGAGTCGGAGGTATGTGTAAACAGCCATGGCAATGAGGATGCTGCTCTTCAGTACCCACTCCCTGCAGGAAGGGAGGACACTGCACCTCTATCCTGTCTAGACTGATTAACCCTTCTAATTCACCTGCATGGACTTGGCCTACAGAGACTCAAAAATGTTTCATGATCAGACAATTACAGTAGGTTCTGTCTTTCAAGGTTTTGGGATTTTTGCTCAGGTGGCTATTATCTATCTTTATGAATTGGCTAAGGTAAAAACTATTTTTCTTTACTGGATGCCCAATAAAGACAGGGGCTGAATAAAATCGGTCTCTTATAATACTTTATAGTTGCCAATAAAATAAATTTGTTGACATGCTCATTCAAACACAGAGGCCCTTATTAATACATAGAACAGTGTGTGACACACTTGGGACAGAGATAAGTGACGTTTCTCCTGGTTCAGCTATGGGAAAATGTTTTCTGAATCAGCAGTTCTCTTAAGTGAGATGCAAGGAGCTCAGGGGATTTCTAGGACCCTTTCCTTTCAGAATCTGGAGTTCTTAGAACAAACACACTGTGCAAGTCCTCTATTGGCTTGTCATTATAGCCAACCATGCCACAAACCTTTCCCCATCTCAAGCCTCTAACCCCACCCTCAGAAAATGAGTCACCTGCCCTAAATTGGAATTGGGGGGGACTGGGGGGGGATGGACACCTGATTTTGGATGGTAAAGCCCATTTTCCCTAGAGTTTTAGAATTCCTCTGAGAAAAATAGAGTATGTTCCCTGTTGCTTTAAAAGGGAACAGGGAAAGACACAGTGGGGGGATTCTTAAAACTCCAATGCTGCCTCTAAGTTCCAGGTAGTTTCTAATGACTTTGGCACCCCTGCTGGAAGGCCAGGAACTGGAGGAAGAAGACAAGTTTAATTAATCTAACCAGGGAACATCCTGATTCAGGAAAAGTACTCAAGCCACTTAATTAAAAGACTCTGGCCTTTTCCTCTCTTTCTTCTGTGTGCCGTGTGTGTGTGTGTGTGTGTGTGTGTGTGTGTGTGTGTCTGTCTGTCTGTCTGTCTGTCTCTATGTGGTGTATTTTGTTTTATTGAGACAGGGTCTTGCTACATAGCCCAGGTTAGACTCCAACTCATAGCAATCCTGCTTCAGCCTCCCAAGTACTAGGATTACTGGCATGTACTACAATGCCTAATGTTGGCCTTTTTTTTTTTTTTTTTTTTGGGTCTTTTTGAGACAGGGTCTCCCTGTAGCCCCAGCTGTCCTGGAACTCACTATGTAGACCAGGCTGGCCTCGAACTCACAGAGATCCGCCTGCCTCTGCCTCCCGAGTGCTGGGATTAAAGGCGTGCACCACCACGCCCGGCTAGCCTTTTCTTTTTACAAAAATGGAAATTTTTACTTTTACTCTTACATCCCTATTCTTGGAAGGTATGGCTAGGAGACAGTTTAAAATTTCAAGGTGTTCCCTTTTACCAAAAATGTGAAGGGGCAGGACAGCTATCTGGCTGCTATTTGACAGTTGGATGAGAAATTCAGCTTTAGAGTTTGGAGATAGTAGATAATCTAGCACAAGGAACAGGATGAGAAAAAACACTTTTTTATGAAGATTGCTAGCAGAGAGCAAATCTGAACCCTGGGAATAATGGAGGAGAGGAAGTTGGAAAGGAATCAAGGACATCAGAGAAACGGGACTAAGAGAAGCAGAGGCCTAGTAAGAAACTGCGAAGCCAGCCCATGGCTGAGGTGATGGTTCCAGGCTCAGGGCAGCTGCACAAACGGGCCCAGGGCACTAGGTGGCACTGCACCTCAGGCTCGGGCAGAGAACACCTGTGATTGGTGAGAAGAGGTCTGTTCTTTCAACCCAAAGATGATACAGACACTATCAGAGCTTTCAGTCATTTGGTTACTTGATGTTCTTACTCAGAAAGAGACTCTAAAGTTAAGTAATGCAAAGACAGGGAACCACAGCATCAAGGGGAAGGCCTCGGCCCTAAACAAATTTACATAATGGAACAGTTCTCACATCATTTCTGGTCCTTTACTTTGATGAGGAAGGGAAGGAAGCCAGAAAGTCAAATAAGCCCCAGTATGCACTTCTACCACTGGAACCTCCAAGCGCTATATGCAGACTCTAGCACGACTCTGTTCACAGCCACTTCTTCTCTCACTGCTCCTGTGCCACTCCAAAAAGAACATGCACTGACTGTGTGGCTTAAAAGGGAGAGGAGGTACCTGCCAGGCCCGGGTGGTTGGCTGACTCCACTGTTGAGCTCATTCTCCCCTCACTTCCCCCCAAAGTTAAACATTCCAAGGAGGTCTGGGTCAAAAATAAACCCTTATCAGATGAAACCAGCTTTTCCTGGGCTCTGAGATATTTTAGCAAGGTCCTTCTTTCCCACTCCTTCATCCCTTGGGACATACGATGGCATTAATTCTTTCATCTACCACCAATAGGCTTGTCATATCTTCCCCTTGCCTCACCTAAGGAGCTCTTAGTCATACCCTTTCTACCCCATTTTCCATACTCACACCCCTCATGGCGTATCTGGCTCTTGCCCCACCCTTCATAGGAGACTCTACCTCTGCTCCGTCAGGATATCCAGAACACTTTCTGCCAACCAGATATTTTTGGCTGTAACATCTCCACCTAATTTCAAGGGGGTGGGAGGGGGAAGAATCAGAATACAGTAGCTCTATTAGCAATCCAGCTAATCCAGTAGTCTCTTTGCTCATTCTGCTGGTCCACCCAGCTATCCCACCACTACTGCCCTGAATACTAGGAAAAACTGCTGCCTCTTCTTCCAGGCTTTAAAGTTTTCCCCTTTGCCTTGAGAAAGATAGGAAGAGAATGTTCCAGATTTTTCCAGAGCTGCTACTTTTCCATACAGTGGGAATTGGAATGGGAATACTTTGGCCTTGAAAAGGAAATGTCTGAGACAAACAGAACTGAGAAGCCCACAGCTGAAAAGCAAAGATGTACTTTGAATAGGGCACTGGCTACAGCCCAGTATCTGGATGTCCCAAGTGCTGTATTCAGGATCATGACGGGCTAAGGGTGACTTTTTTTTTTTTAATTTCTAGACACCAGTCTTTGGTTCTTGATACTGAATTTGCTGGGGACAGAATTAACATGCAGTGTCACCAGACCAAAGTACTGGGATGAGAAGTGGGGCTGGGAGTGCCAAACAGAGAAGAAAGTGCCAAGAAAGAGGGTAAAAATATCCAGCACAACAATGCTATGCATTGCCCCAGGTCTCAATTAAAAATCCAATGTTCACATAGTCACATATCACAAAGATTAGGGGTCATATACATCAAGCAGGGACATCAGTGTCACAGAAAATGCTAAAGAAAAGGCGAAACACAGCCAGAAGTGTTGGTGCATACCTGTACCACCGGCACTGGCGAAACTGAGGCAGGAGGATTAAGGAGGATTGTGAATTTGAGGCCAACCTGGGCTACATAGCAAGACTTTTTCTCAATTAAAAAAAAAAAAAAAGGAAGGCGGGGCTGGGCATGATACAGTCCAGTGGTAGGAGAGCTGGCCCAGCATGTGTGAGGGCCTAGGTTCAATTCCCAGCACCATAAAAAGGAAAAAAAAAAAAAAAAAAAGAAGGGGGGGTGGGGGATGAAAAAGGCGCGGGGAGGAGGGCCGGGCCCTGTCGGGTTGGGGGGCAGTGTTTCAATCCCAACCCCTAAAAAAGGAAAAAAAAAAAAAAAAAAAAAAAAGTACCAATGAGCATTGGTGAGAGAGCAGCATTTTATTTATTATTATTATTAATAATAATACTTTGTTTTGTTGTTTTTAATCAGGAAAAGAAAACACATTCAATCTTGAAAGCAGGAGGAGCCTGGGTAGACCTCTTCAACATTCAATAGCTCAGATAGATGTCACAGATGCCAAAATTAAAATAACACCAAAAACCCCTAAATGTCAGGGTCTGTTCTAAGACACTGTTTGTCCCTCAGACTGGCCCCAATCAGATGTCAGAGTTATTCAGGAGCAAATGTCTGGAAGACAGGGTGGAGCCAGGGAGATCTCTCATTTCTGAAAGTGCAATGACCTGGGACATTTCCCCCACCTTCTCATCTGGCATGCCACTAAACCCCAATGTGACAACTGGCTAAAATAGGCCAAACGTTCTGTCGAGTCTTCTAAAAGCAGGAAAGAAATCAAGGCAAGACGTATTGACTCAAAAGCCCCCTGTGATTTTTCAGTCAATTTCTTCCTGCAACACATGTGACCAGAAGCTATCTGCATCAGCAAGGAAGAGTCTGAGCAACCCAGAAACCAAGTTCACTGGGTACGTATGCTTTCCACCGCCTACACCTCCTCGGGGCTCCTTCCTTTCTTCTCTGTGCGCCTGCCATCAAGCTTACCTGCAATCTGCTTCATAAATGTCATGCAAACACCATCAGCTCCCAGAACACCACTTTTCACTAGTTCCCGTACCAACCACACCAACTAAAGAGAGAGGAAAAGACATGAAGAGCAAGCATGTGAGTTTCAGAAAGGAGCTAATTCAGTCATGTTACAATTTAGGTGCACAGTAATATAGCTGCACCCCCACATCCCCCCTCCCTTTCCCTTTAAGAGAATCCATCCTCAGTGCTATACCATTAAGCTGGATGTTCTCTCTTTTGGGCGGCTGAAGATTGAATCCAGGCCTTGTACATGCTAAGCACATGCTCTAACACTGAGTTACACTCCAGCCCCTGGACCCTCTCTTTTCTTTCTGGCCTTACCTGAGTACGGCAGGTATCCTGCAACTTCAAGTACTTCTCCATAAGTAGCTGATTGATTTTATTCAGGACAATGTTCATGCCGTCACGACTCACCAGAGCCAAGTCCCGGTAACACTGTGAGAAGTAAGGTTTGTGGGCAGTCAGTGAGCTGAGATAAGGCTTTGTCCCCACAGCCTGCCCTCTATCCACCTATGCTCTTAAATAATATGAGTGGGACACTGAGTGGCAATGAAACACTTTCCATCCTGGATACTTTTTTCCACAGGGCTCCCTCTATCCCAAACCTTCCCTCTGAAGGGATAAAGTATTCTCTAATAAGGCAAGAAAGCCTGCTGGGCAAAGCTCCTAGTTCTGTCCCTGTCCCCCTTCCCCCTTCTCAGGAAGTGTCCTACTGTTTGATGCCACAAGCTGAGCAAAACCAGGTGGAGGCCATCTGCTTTTCATCTGCCAGTAAAAGGTCACTGCAAAATGGGTTTGGCTGAACAAGTCAAAAAGGAGCCCAAAGGTTTTTAGATTTGCTCAAAGGGATTATTAGAGGATCCGGGTCAGCAAGAAAGGACAGAAAACTGCACTTTCTTAGTTGGATATAATGGCACATGCCTATAGGCATGGCATTTGGGAGGTTGAGGCAGGTAAATCAAGGCCAGCCTGGACTATAAAGTGAGACCTTTGCTCAGAAACAAATTCTGTTTTCTTTGCTTTTTTGAGACAGAGCCTCAATCTGTATGTAGTCCAAGCTGTCCTGGAGCTTAGTATGTAGCCCAGATGGCCTTTTATGGCACACCTCCTGTCTCAGCTCTTGAGTGCTGAAATTACTACCACACCCACTCAAAGCCTGAACTTTTTTTCAATGTGTATGTTTGTGTGTGCCACAGTACTTGTGCGGAAGTCAGAGGACAACATTGTGGAGTTCTACCTTTACTGACTTCTAGAGATCAAATTTAGGTTGTCCAGTTTCTGTGGCAAGTGCTTTTACCTACTAGCCATTTTGCTGGCCCACAAACATAAACTTTATTAACTAAATATCCTTTTTTTTCCTCTGGGATGACCTTTGCTTTGCCAAGTATTAAAGGGTGGGGGGTCCCTTAGCATCCTCACCCCTGGGGGAGACAAGGCAGAGCAGGACTGTTTTCTTCTGAGTCACTGCTTCCCTTTTCCTCAGAGCTTGTCTTACACTGTCTCTTCAGTGAGGTCAGACTCCTGGAGGAATCCCTGAGGGAACCTCATTAGCAGCTCCTGAGTCTGCTGAGTTCTATCCTGTCAAGGTCTCATCAGAAAGGGTAAAAATTAAGTAGGTGGCCTCCTAGATAGAAACCTCTGAAGGTCACTGCAAAGATAATATCAAGAATAATAATAATAATGGGGCTAGAGAGATGGCTCTTGCAGAGAACCCTGGTTCAGTTCCCAGCACCCACATGGCAGCTAACAACTATAACCCTAGTTCCAGGGGATCTGACGCCCTCTTCTGACCTCCACAAGAACTGCAAATATTGCATTATATACTGTTGCATTTGCTATACCTAACAACCCTTGAAAACAGGCACTAATTAATATCTATTTTTACCAATGTAGAAATACGCACAGTGAAGGGGGTGGGTCTAAAGAAGCCTGTTCCAAGGCCGGGCATGGTGCCACATGCCTTTAATCCCAGCACTCTGGAGGCAGAGGCAGGTGGATCTCTGTGAGTTCAATGCCAGCCTGGTCTACACAGTGAGTTCCAGGACAGCTGGGGCTACAGGGAGACCCTGTCTCAAAAAGATCAAAAAAAAAAAAAAAGAAGCCTGTCCCAGATCACATAAGAGATTACAAAAAAACAAAAAAACAAAAAAAAAAACAAAAAAAACAGACTTTTTTTTTTTTTCGGTCTTTTTAAGACAGGGTTTCCCTGTAGCCCGAGCTGTCCTGGAACTCACAGAGATCTGCCTGCCTCTGCCTTGGGAGTGCTGGGACTAAAGGGGTGCGCCACCATACCCAACATTATTTTTCTTCCTTGTAGATGAGTGTTTTGCCTGCAATACAATGGGATCAGTCCTTATGGCTGGGCATGGTGGCACAAAGCATGGAGGCAGAGGCAGGCAGATCTCTGTAAGTTTGAGGTCAGCTTGGTCTACATAGAGAGTTCAAGGTCAGCCAGAGATACATAATGAAACCCTGTTTCAAAAAAATGTCCTTGTCAGTAATTCTCACACAAAACTTCCACAGGACAGAATTATTTCATATGACAATCACTCCTACTAGAGAGATGAACCAAACCATTGGGGAACTATGTCACTAATTCTTCCACCACACTCTGACCCAGCTCAAGGTCTCCAAATGAGTTACTACCTGATAGCTCCTCTCTCATCTAAAACTGTGCTCCTCCTAATTCTAACATTATTTGCCTGGAGTAGCCTGACCCAGGAACACACAGGTAGAGGATTTAGCATAGGAACATGAACTCTGGTGTAGTTTTCAATCAGTTATGAGACCCGAAGTGAGATGCTTCACCTCTCTAGGGAGCATGTGCCTGCCACAATACAAAAACAAACCAACAAACCTGTTCAAAGGTCAAGACTAATTTGCAGAGATCACTAAATAAGATTTTATTGTTTTTGAGATAGGATCTGGCTTTGTAATGCAGGCTGGCCTGGTACTTTTTAAAAAGACCTATTTATTACTTTTTCATGTATACGTGTTGTGCCTGCATGAGTTTATGTACACCATGTGCATGCAGGAACCTTCATAGGGCAGAAGAGGGCATTGGATCCCCTGGAACTAGAGGTAGAATTCTGTTGTGAGCTGCCATGTGGGCGCTGGAAACCAAACCCAGGTCCTCTGCAAGAGCAGTAAGTACTCTTAATTGCTGAGCCATCTCTCTAGGGACCCCTCCCCTTTTAAAAGATTTATTTTATTTACTGGCCTGATATTTGATATGTAGCTCAGACTGGCCTTGAACTCAAGGCAAATCTCCTGACTTAAATTCCTAATCACTGGGCTTACAGGTATGTAGCATGCCCATTGTTGTTTGTTTTTTTGTTTTGTTTTTAGTGTGCATGTGTGTAACTAGGAATCAAACCCAGGGCCTCAAACATGCTACAGAAGCACTCTAACACTAAGCTACATACTCAACCCTTAAGCCAGATTTTTTTGTCTTTGTTTCTTTTGGAGCTGAGGACAGAACCCGGGGTCTTGTGCTTGCTAGGCAAGCGCTCTACCACTGAGCTAAATCCCCAACCCCTTAAGTCAGATTTTTTACAATTTAATTTTACTATTTATGTGTGTATGAATGCAGGTACCTGACCTAGGAACACATAGGTAGAGGATTTAGCATAGGAACATGAACCCTGGTGCAATTGTCAGTTATGAAAGCCAAAGTGAGATGGCACTTATGCCATCCATGGCACACATGTAGAAGGCAAAGGACAGGTAGGTGGAGCTCTGTGAGATCAATGCCAGTCTGGTCTACATAGTGAGTTCCAGGTCAGATGTAGCTAAAGAGATGCTGTCTCAATGGGGCTGGAGAGATGGCATAGCAGTTAAGAACACTGAATGTTCTTGCAGAAGACCCAGGTTTGAATCCCAGCACCCACATGGCTGCTAACAACTGTCCATAACTCCAGTTCCAGGGAATCTGACAGCCTCTTCTGTCCTTCGTGAGCACTGCACAACATGTGTACACTTACCTACATGCAGGTAATACATGCATCACATTAAAAAAACAAATAAGCCAGGCGTGGTGGCGCACGCCTGTAGTCCCAGCACTCAGGAGGCAGAGGCAGGCGGATCTCTGTGAGTTCAAGGCCAGCCTCGTCTACATAGAGAGTTCCAGGACAGCTGGGGCTAAAGGGAGACCCTGCTTCAAAAGAAAGACCAAAATAAATAAACAAAGAAATATTTTTAAAAAGAGATGCTGTTTCAAAAAGTCCAAAAATAAATAAATAAAAAGTATTCATATTATTGCTTAAATGAAGACATTCATTTATTTCTAAATATTTTGATGACAAATTCTGTGTGAAAATAAAATCCCAGCAATTGGGAGGCTGAGGCAGGAAGAACAAAAGAACAAGAGTTCTAGGTCACTCTGGGCTACATGTCAAGATTCTATGAAAAAAAAGAAGGGAGGGAGGGAGGGACGGAGGGAGGACAGCAATTTGTCTTAAGGTTCAAGCCCAAAGTGACTGGGTTGTCTCCTGAGAAACCAAAGATTTGTGAAGACTTGTTGTCCTACCACTCACCTTTACCCCAGACCCTATGCAAGCATCGGGACAGTACAAACACACCGGGTTCCCATACCCACCAACACTTCCTCTGAGGTTAACTTTTTAAAAAAAATATTTTATTATTTTTATTTTATGTGTAGGAGTGCATTGCCTGCATGTATGTGAGTGCACCCGTGTTGTGCAATGCCAGGGAGGTCAGAAGAGAGCTTCGGATTCCCCTGGAACTAGAGTTAAGGACAGTTCATAGCCGCCATGTGGGTGCTGGGAATCGAACCCGGGTCCTCTGCAAGAGCAGTCAGTGCTCTTAACTGCTGAGTCCTCTATCCCCCAGCCTCTGAGGTTAACTTAAACATCTATGTCAGGGAGACCAAGAGCATCCTGTCTTTATCCTTGAGAATGAGTTCCCTTTGGTTATCCCTGAACAAATGGTAACATATCTAGGTTCCTAGGTACTTTATAGATGTAGGGGATAAAATAACCAAAGTCATGTGGGTTTTGGGGGATTTTTTTTTTTTTTTTTGGTCTTTTTGAGACAGGGTCTCCCTGGATTCACTATGGAGACCAGGCTGGCCTCAAACTTTCAGAGATCCACCTGCCTCTGCCTCCCAAAAGCTGGGATCAAAGGCATGTGCCACAACGCCCAGCTCTAAAGTCATGTGGTTTTTCTTTTAGAAGCATCAAATGAGATCTTCTATACTACACCCCAACACTGGACCAAAAGCATATTTGTTCTCTTCCATACCGCTTTTGTTCAGGGAAGAGCCATGAAGAATTCTGAGTTCCCAGCTCTTCTCTTTCCTGTCATATAGTTCAAGTCTGATTCCAGATATACTTTAACTCATCATGCCAAGACTTAAAAGGCACAGAATTGATAGAAAGGGGACATCTGAAGAGGCAGAAGACCTAATTTTTCTACTTTCTTATAAAGAGCAGAATCCAGGCTGGATGTGGTGGCACACTCCTTTAATCCCAGCACATGGGAGGCAGAGGCAGGCGGATCTCTGTGAATCTGGTCTACATAGTGAGTTCCAGGCCAGTTGGGGCTACAGGGAGACCCTGTCTCAAAAAAAGACCAGAAAAAAAGCACAATCTGAAGAAATCACCCACCTAGTCCTCAACCTGCTTACACCGTCTTGCAAAACAGAGCCTCATCTGTTTATGAAAAGGTGCAGACTAGGTTTCCTGTAATGCTAATTAGGAAGTCAGCCTCTCTCCAATGTTTTCTTAATCATTATATTAAGCTATGTAATCTAAACGTTACTTGCTACAGTTTTAGGCCTGCCGGTTTTCTGTTCCTCTGGCCCATGCAGAACCTACAGATTATAGGTCCTGTTCTGACTACAGGGAGGACAACACTCATGGGCTTGGTCATACTTGAGCTCTTCTAGTCCCCACATAAATGCCAATCTTTTCAGCTTTGCCCCATAAACCTGATAACCCTTGTGTGTTTTCTCCCTCTCACAAGGTCTTTTCTTGCCTTTCAGCTCAGAATCTGGGGATAGAAAGGACTGATCAATTCACTGGAAATAAGAAAGGACTTGAAAATTACATTTGGAGAACAAGGGGATTCAGCTCTGACACAGCTCCAGCTGAGTGGTAAAATTTCCTGATTCTCATGTTTCCTGAGAAGAGCCTGGGCATCCAGGGCAGTAGATACCGTACCTTTTGGGCCTGGGCAGGTTCAGTGAGGACAAGAGTAAACAAGCCTAGGCAGATTTCCTCATGTTGGGGAGGTCCTTTGCATACCTAGGAGGTGAGAAAGGGAAAAAAATAAGTTGTCATTCCCATGTAGACAGTCCAAGCACAATTTTTCCCAGAATAGTTGGGACTCTTAGGTAACATGTAATAGGGAAAGATCATTTTTTTTTTTGGTCTTTTGGAGACCAGGCTGGCCTTGAACTCACATCGGCCTGCCTCTGCCTCCTGAGTGCTGGGACTAAAAGTGTGTGCCCACCACACCCAGTGGAAAGATCAAATTTTAAATGATTTCCTTCTCTTAACAGGGATGAGACACCTATTTTAGAAGAGGGGTGAGGGAAAAGAAAAGCCTTATTGCTTTCTCTAACCACCTGAAGCAAGTGGCAGAAAATAAGAAGTGCCTAAGATGGGCAAAGCAAATAAATCGTCTACAGCACCTTTGACAGATGCAACAGCCTTCAAAAGGGAGCTGTGAATGGAGGACCAGAACACCTATACCAAGCACAACCCCAGGCAAATGATGCAACCCCTGAAACTTCAGTGATGACATAGTAAGAATATCTGAAGGCCGGGCACGGTGGTGCTGGCCTTCAATCCCAGCACTTGGGAGGAGGTAGTGGCAGTAGGATCTCTAAGAGTTCCAGGACAGACAGGGCATTCTAGCCAGAGCCTGCCTCAAAAACAAAAAGGACAGCCAGGCGTGGTGGCGCATGCCTTTAATCCCCGCACTTGGGAGGCAGAGACAGGTGGATCTCTGAGTTCGAGGCTAGCCTGGTCTACATAGTGAGATCCAGGACAGCTGGGGCTACAAGGGAGACCCTGTCTCAAAAAGACCAAAACAAAACAAAACCAAAACCAAAAAGGACTTATCTTGTGTGTGATATTGTTTATTTGTGTGTGTGTGTGTGTGTGTGTGTGTGTGTGTGTGGTACTACATGTGTTTGAGGCCCAGGGTCAATGTTTGGTGTCTTCCTCCCTTGCTCTCCACCTTTAGTTTTTTAAATAGGTTTTCCAAATAAACCTGAAGCTCATAGATTTAGCTAGGCTGGCTGACCAAGGGGCTTCATGGATTCACCTGTGTCCACTGCACCCCACACCCAATTCAGGGTTTACAGGTATGTGCTACCATTCTTTAGCTTTTTATGTGGGTACCTGGGACCCAAACTCAGATCCTTATGTTTGCACAGCAGGCACTTTACTACTGACTGAGCCACCTCTCCAGCTCTATTAACTCAATTTTTCTTTTTTTTTTTTTTGGTCTTTTTGAGACAGGGTTTCCTTGTAGCTCCAGCTGTCCTGGAACTCACTATGTAGACCAGGCTGGCCTTGAACTTACAGAGATCCGCCTGCCTCTGCCTTCTGAGTGCTGGGATTAAAGGCATGCGCCACCACACCTGGCAACTCAATTCTTTTTTAAAAATTTTTATTTTATAAGTGTTTTGCCTGTATGCATGTCAGTGGAGTCCAGAAGAGGGTGTTGGATCCCCTGGAACTGGAGTTATGGATAGGTTGTTAGCCACCATGTGGGTGCTGGGAACTGAATCCAGGTTCTCTTACAAGAGCAGCCAGTGCTCTTAACCACTGAGCCATCTCTCTAGGCCTAGTTTTGATTTTATTATTTTACATGTATGAGTGTATTGCATGCATGTATGTGAGTACACCCGTGTCGTGCAATGCCAGGGAGGACAGAAGAGGGCTTCAGATTCCCCTGGGACTGGAGTTAAGGACGGTTCATAGCCGCCATATGGGTGCTGGGAATTGAACCCGGGTCCTCTGCAAGAGCAGTCAGTGCTCTTAACCGCTGAGCCATCTCGCCAGCTCCCTTGATTTTTACTTTTTCTCTATGAATTCAATTTTTTTTGAGACCAGGTTTTCCTGTAGCCCAGCTGGCTGGGATTAAAGGTGTGCATCACCACGCCTGGCTTTTAAGTCAATTCTTTTGTTTCTTTTTTTTTTAATTTTTATTTTATGTGTATAAGTCTGCATATATGTAAGTGCAACTGTATCATGCAATGCCAGCTGAGGTCAGAAGAGGGCATTCGATTCTCTGAAACTGGAGTTAGAACCATTGTTAGGACACCATGTGGGTGCCAGGATTTGAACCCAGGCTCTCTGCAAGAACAGTCAGTGTTCTTAACCACTAGGCCAGCTCTACAGCCTCTTAACTCAATTCTTTAAAAAATTTTTTTTTAAATTACATTTGGGGTGTGTGTGTGTATGTATACATCACAGCATTCCTATGGAAGTCAGGTCAACTAGCACGGTCCTCTCCTTACACCATGTAGGCCTCAGGAAGGTTGTTAAGGTTGGCAGCAGGCATCCTTATCTACCAAGCCATCTAAATTTAAAAAAATTTATTGTGTGCTAGGCATGATGGTGTATGCCTTTAATGCCAGCACTGAGGAGGCAGTGGATCTCTGTGAATTCAAGGCTAGCCTGGTCTATACAGCAAGCTTCAGATCAGCCAGAACTACATAGTGAAATCTTGTTTCAAAAAACAAAATACAGGGGGCTGGAGAGATGGCTCAGCGATTAAGAACACTGGTTGTTCTTGCAGAAGACCCGGGTTCGAATCCCAGCACCCACATGGCAGCTAACAACTGTCCAGAACTCCAGTCCCAGGGGATCCGATAGCCTCTTCTGACCTCTGCAGGCACTGCATGACATGGGTGCACTTACCTACATGCAGGCAATACACGTATACACATGAAGAAAAAAAAAATTACAAGCTGGCCATGGGGGAGGGGGGTGGCACGCAGTTTCAGGCTAGCTGTGGCTACATGGAGACCTTGTCTCAAAAAAAAAAAAAAAAAAGCAAACAAAAATCTTGTTTTGCTTCCCTTTTGTTTTGTTTCAATCCCTTGGGTGATCCAGGGATGGGAATTCAGGTTGTTAGTTCTGCACACGAGCACCTCTACCTGCTGAGTCACCTCACTGGCTCAGAACTAAGCTTTTTAAAAAGTTATTTAGGCTGGGCATGGTGGCACACGCCTTTAGTCCCAGCACTCCGAGGCAGAGGCAGGTGGATCTCGGTGAGTTCAAGGCATCTTCTCTGGTGGTTCCCTGGGGCAGTACATGGGGAACTTGCTAAACCACACCAACTTCCTGTAGTTGCCTCAGGGTTAACACAGGTGACTTTAGAATTTCTAAACTGTCATAAACCACAGGAGATCAGGAAGACATGTCTTGTTTCTTCCGAGTACACCAGCAGTATGACACGTGTGCACAGGGCAGGAGACAACTTGTAGGAGTTGGTTCTCTCCTTCCACCATGTGGAGCCCAGGGACAGAATTCAGGTAGTCAGACGTGGCAGCAGGTGCCTTTACCCACGGAGCCACACTGCCAGCCCAATCCACTGTATTTTTAAACACAGTTTCTCAGAATCTGGAGCTCAGCAATTAGGCTTACCACAAGCCCAGGGGATCCGCCTGCCTCCGCCTCACCAGTGCTGGGATTACAGAACAGCACCACTGTACCTGGTTCTTATGGGAGTACTAGTTATCCATACCAAGTCCTCCTGCTTTACCAACAGACCACCATTCCCCCCTAGACCCACAGGAAAAATGGTTTGCTTCCAAAATAAATTTTTTAAATGACAGCTTGCATACTGGTTTGAGTTCCTCACGGTCCAGTTTGCGCCGGTACATCAGGAAGGCGTGGATGGTGTTACCGGCTCTTGCCGCCTGAATGTGTGTTGGGTTGATGTACAGCATCTCCTAGGAGGGACAGAACAGCAGAGGGTGTTCATGGGAAAGGCACACGGATATACACACATGGAAGAGGGCCTCCAAGCTGACGAAGTGCACCTACAGATAAGTTCAATTACAAACATTTGTTTCTGTTTTAGTTTTTTTTAAAAAACAAAAAAACAAAAAAAAACAAAATAGCGTCATACTATGTAGCTCTGGCTGCCCTTGAACTCTAGGCAACCCTCCTGCCTCAGGGTCTTGAGTACTAGGGTTAAAGGCATATGCTACTGTGCCTGGCTTTAAAACTTAACAAATTGTAAGGCGGGGCATGGTGGTTCACGCCTTTAGTCCCAGCACTCGGGAGGCAGAGGCAGGTGGATCTCTGTGAGCTCAAGGCCAGCCTGGTCTACAAAGCAAGTTCCAGGCCAGCTGGGGCTACAGAGAGACCCTGTCTCAAAAGAGACCAAAAAAAAAAAGGGGCTGGAGAGATGGCTTAGAGGCTAAGAACACTGGTTGTTCTTGCAGAAGACCCGGGTTCAAATCCCAGCACCCACATGGCAGCTAACAACTGTCTGTAACTCTAGTTCCAGGGGATCTGACAGCCTCTTCTGGCCTCCATGGGCACTTCATGACACAGGTACACTTACCTACATGCAGGAAATACACACATACACATAAAATAAAAAATAATAATAAAGAAAATATTAAAACAAAACAAAACAAAGACCAAAAAATAAACAAACTCTTAACGAGCAAATACTGTAGATCTTGTTTTGATCACTGATGATTAAGAACAAACCAACTATGAAAAGAATTTAAAATATAATAAAAAGCAATTTGAATACTAAATAATGATTATATCAAGGAATCGTTTTATTTTGGGCTTGTTAACATTTAGAAGTAAAAACAGGCTGAGTATGGTGGTGCACGCCTGTAATCCCAGCACTTGGGAGGTGGAGGCAGAGGATCAGGAATTCAAGAATTTAAAATATAATAAAAAGCAATTTGAATACTAAATAACGATTATATCAAGGAATCGTTTTATTTTGGGCTTGTTAACATTTAGAAGTAAAAACAGGCTGAGTATGGTGGTGCACGCCTGTAATCCCAGCACTTGGGAGGTGGAGGCAGAGGATCAGGAATTCAAGGCCAGCCTTACTCAGCCCAAGCTAAGTGAGATTGCCTCAAAAAACAACTTGAGAGAAACAGAGAAAATGGAAGTAGCCATGAAAGAAAAGGGGCTAGAGCAATGATGTCTCAGTGGCTGAGAACACTGATCGCTCCTACAGAAGACCTGGGTTCCATTCCCAGCACCCACATGGCAGCTACGAACCATCCTTAACTCCAGTTCCAGGGGAATCTGAAGCCCTCTTCTGACCTCCCTGGCATTGCACAACATGGGTGCACGCACATAATGCAGGCAATACACTCATACACATAAAATAAAAATAATAAATAAAAAAATTACAATTTTCATCATTAGCTTAAGTATATGATTTTTTTCTTTCTGTTAATTTTTCATTTTTTAAAGAAATGTTTCTTTTTATTTCAAAACAACCTATAGAGCCTTATCTAGATAAAGGTTCTATGAGCTCACGAGTTATTGCTGGGTTTTGTTTCTAGGGAATCAGTCAAATCAGTTATGCTATGGAGATAACTGGTCTCTTAGTGAGTTCCAGGACAGCTGGGGCTACAAGGAGACCCTGTCTCAAAAAGGCCAAAAAAAAAAAATTTAAAGGGCAGGCAAGATGGCTCAGTAGGTAAAGGTGCCTACTGTCAAGCCTGCCGACCTGAGTTTGATCCCTGAGATCCACATGGTGGAAGGAAACTTACTTGCAAGTTGTCCTCTGACTTCTACCATGTGGACCACAGAATGCCCTCCTCCCTCACACATATAAAAAAAGTAAGTCAGGCATGATGGTACAAGCTTGTTATCATAGCACTCAGGAAGCTGAGGCAGGATTCTGAGTATGATGGATTACATAGAGTTTGAGGTTCAGTCTACACCAAGACGTGGCCTCAGAAAAACAAAACTTAAATTATTTAAGTATGCACAAGGTTTCAAGAGATGGACTCCCACTATGAGAGAGGAAGTGGACAACCTGGATTATGGTACCAAGATGTGAACCTCAGTCCCCTAAATCCCAGTCACCATCTTTCCATTTTTCTGTCCGCACATCAGAGCTTTCTCAGCAGAAACAGATGGAAGGAGAGCATGATACTTACGTAGGCATTAAGGGCATCGTTGGCCTCTCTCTCAGAAACACCAGTTGTCATTGATGTCACAATGCTCATACACCTTTCCAACCTCTGGGGAGGGTGAGAACAAATTAAGAGTGTGTCATAACACCACCCATGAAGTACTTCTGGGTTTAAAACACCTGCAATCCTGACACCCAAGAAGCTGAGGCAAGAGACTCTCAAGTTCAAGGCCAGCCTGGGCTACGTAGCAAGTTCCAGGACAGCTGGGGCTACAGGGAGACCCTGTCCCAAAAAGACCAAAAAAAAAAAAATAATAATAATAATAATAATAATTAAGAATAATAATAAGCTGGGCGTGGTGGCACATGCCTTTAGTCCCAGCACTTGGGAGGCAGAGGCAGGTGAATCTCTGTGAGTTCAAGGCCAGCCTGGG